AATACATTCATCCAGATTAAAATTAAAAGATTGTGACGATTTTTAATGTTGGTTCTGCAGCGATAAAGATGCCCCCTCCTACGGCATCGGAGCCAGTATCGCGTATACTGCATATACCGTGCAATAGGCCTGTTTGGACACAAAAAACCTAGGTGGGTAAAACGCGGAACTCTCATTTTAAAAGGTCTTCCCGGGTGAATTTCGGAAAGAAAAAAATCAGAGGAGTTGTTGAGAATATAATACATTCATCCAGATTAAAATTAAAAGATTGTGACGATTTTTAATGTTGGTTCTGCAGCGATAAAGATGCCCCCTCCTACGGCATCGGAGCCAGTACGCGTATACCGCAAATACCGTGCAACAGGCCTATTTGCACAAAAAAACCTAGGTGGGTAAAACGCGGAACTCTCATTTTAAAAGGTCTTCCCTGGTGAATTTCGGAAAGAAAAAAATCACAGGAGTTGTTGACAATATAATACATTCATCCAGATTAAAATTAAAAGATTGTGACGATTTTTAATGTTGGTTCTGCAGCGATAAATATGCCCCCTCCCACAGCATCGGAGCCAGTACGTGTACACTGCACATAACGTGCATAGGCCTACTTGGACAAAAAAACCTAGGTTGGTAAAACGCGGAACTCTCATTTTAAAAGGTCTTCCCGGGTGAATTTCCGAAAGATAAAAATCAGAGGAGTTGTTGAGAATATAATACATTCATCCAGATTAAAATTAAAAGATTGTGACGATTTTTAATGTTGGTTCTGCAGCGATAAAGATGCCCCCTCCTACGGCATCGGAGCCAGTACGCGTATACTGCACATACCGTGCAACAGGCCTATTTGCACAAAAAACCTAGGTGGGTAAAACGCGGAACTCTCATTTTAAACGGTCTTCCCGGGTGAATTTCCGAAAGAAAGAAATCAGAGGAGTTGTTGAGAATATAATACATTCATCCAGATTAAAATTAAAAGATTGTGACGATTTTTAATGTTGGTTCTGCAGCGCTAAAGATGCCCCCTCCTACGGCATCGGAGCCAGTACGCGTATACTGCAAATAACGTGCAACAGGCCTATTTGCACAAAAAAACCTAGGTGGGTAAAACGCGGAACTCTCATTTTAAAAGGTCTTCCCGGGTGAATTTCGGAAAGAAAAAAATCACAGGACTTGTTGACAATATAATACATTCATCCAGATTAAAATTAAAAGATTGTGACGATTTTTAATGTTGGTTCTGCAGCGATAAATATGCCCCCTCCCACAGCATCGGAGCCAGTACGTGTACACTGCACATAACGTGCATAGGCCTACTTGGACAAAAAAACCTAGGTGGGTAAAACGCGGAACTCTCATTTTAAAAGGTCTTCCCGGGTGAATTTCCGAAAGATAAAAATCAGAGGAGTTGTTGAGAATATAATACATTCATCCAGATTAAAATTAAAAGATTGTGACGATTTTTAATGTTGGTTCTGCATCGATAAAGATGCCCCCTCCTACGGCATCGGAGCCAGTACGCGTATACTGCACATACCGTGCAACAGGCCTATTTGCACAAAAAACCTAGGTGGGTAAAACGCGGAACTCTCATTTTAAAAGGTCTTCCCGGGTGAATTTCGGAAAGAAAAAAATCAGAGGAGTTGTTGACAATATAATACATTTATCCAGATTAAAATTAAACCATTTTGACGATTTTTAATGTTGGTTCTGCAGCGATAAATATGCCCCCTCCCACAGCATCGGAGCCAGTACGTGTACACTGCACATAACGTGCATAGGCCTACTTGGACAAAAAAACCTAGGTGGGTAAAACGCGGAACTCTCATTTTAAAAGGTCTTCCCGGGTGAATTTCGGAAAGAAAAAAATCACAGGAGTTGTTGAGAATATAATACATTTATCCAGATTAAAATTAAACCATTTTGACGATTTTTAATGTTGGTTCTGCAGCGCTAAAGATGCCCCCTCCTACGGCATCGGAGCCAGTACGCGTATACTGCACATACCGTGCATAGGCCTACTTGGACAAAAAAACCTAGGTGGGTAAAACGCGGAACTCTCATTTTAAACGGTCTTCCCGGGTGAATTTCGGAAAGAAAAAAAACACATGAGTTGTTGAGAATATAATACATTCATCCAGATTAAAATTAAAAGATTGTGACGATTTTTAATGTTGGTTCTGCAGCGATAAAGATGCCCCCTCCTACGGCATCGGAGCCAGTATCGCGTATACTGCATATACCGTGCAATAGGCCTGTTTGGACACAAAAAACCTAGGTGGGTAAAACGCGGAACTCTCATTTTAAAAGATCTTCCCGGGTGAATTTCGGAAAGAAAAAAATCAGAGGAGTTGTTGAGAATATAATACATTCATCCAGATTAAAATTAAAAGATTGTGACGATTTTTAATGTTGGTTCTGCAGCGATAAAGATGCCCCCTCCTACGGCATCGGAGCCAGTACGCGTATACCGCAAATACCGTGCAACAGGCCTATTTGCACAAAAAAACCTAGGTGGGTAAAACGCGGAACTCTCATTTTAAAAGGTCTTCCCTGGTGAATTTCGGAAAGAAAAAAATCACAGGAGTTGTTGACAATATAATACATTCATCCAGATTAAAATTAAAAGATTGTGACGATTTTTAATGTTGGTTCTGCAGCGATAAATATGCCCCCTCCCACAGCATCGGAGCCAGTACGTGTACACTGCACATAACGTGCATAGGCCTACTTGGACAAAAAAACCTAGGTTGGTAAAACGCGGAACTCTCATTTTAAAAGGTCTTCCCGGGTGAATTTCCGAAAGATAAAAATCAGAGGAGTTGTTGAGAATATAATACATTCATCCAGATTAAAATTAAAAGATTGTGACGATTTTTAATGTTGGTTCTGCAGCGATAAAGATGCCCCCTCCTACGGCATCGGAGCCAGTACGCGTATACTGCACATACCGTGCAACAGGCCTATTTGCACAAAAAACCTAGGTGGGTAAAACGCGGAACTCTCATTTTAAACGGTCTTCCCGGGTGAATTTCCGAAAGAAAGAAATCAGAGGAGTTGTTGAGAATATAATACATTCATCCAGATTAAAATTAAAAGATTGTGACGATTTTTAATGTTGGTTCTGCAGCGCTAAAGATGCCCCCTCCTACGGCATCGGAGCCAGTACGCGTATACTGCAAATAACGTGCAACAGGCCTATTTGCACAAAAAAACCTAGGTGGGTAAAACGCGGAACTCTCATTTTAAAAGGTCTTCCCGGGTGAATTTCGGAAAGAAAAAAATCACAGGACTTGTTGACAATATAATACATTCATCCAGATTAAAATTAAAAGATTGTGACGATTTTTAATGTTGGTTCTGCAGCGATAAATATGCCCCCTCCCACAGCATCGGAGCCAGTACGTGTACACTGCACATAACGTGCATAGGCCTACTTGGACAAAAAAACCTAGGTGGGTAAAACGCGGAACTCTCATTTTAAAAGGTCTTCCCGGGTGAATTTCCGAAAGATAAAAATCAGAGGAGTTGTTGAGAATATAATACATTCATCCAGATTAAAATTAAAAGATTGTGACGATTTTTAATGTTGGTTCTGCATCGATAAAGATGCCCCCTCCTACGGCATCGGAGCCAGTACGCGTATACTGCACATACCGTGCAACAGGCCTATTTGCACAAAAAACCTAGGTGGGTAAAACGCGGAACTCTCATTTTAAAAGGTCTTCCCGGGTGAATTTCGGAAAGAAAAAAATCAGAGGAGTTGTTGACAATATAATACATTTATCCAGATTAAAATTAAACCATTTTGACGATTTTTAATGTTGGTTCTGCAGCGATAAATATGCCCCCTCCCACAGCATCGGAGCCAGTACGTGTACACTGCACATAACGTGCATAGGCCTACTTGGACAAAAAAACCTAGGTGGGTAAAACGCGGAACTCTCATTTTAAAAGGTCTTCCCGGGTGAATTTCCGAAAGATAAAAATCAGAGGAGTTGTTGAGAATATAATACATTCATCCAGATTAAAATTAAAAGATTGTGACGATTTTTAATGTTGGTTCTGCATCGATAAAGATGCCCCCTCCTACGGCATCGGAGCCAGTACGCGTATACTGCACATACCGTGCAACAGGCCTATTTGCACAAAAAACCTAGGTGGGTAAAACGCGGAACTCTCATTTTAAAAGGTCTTCCCGGGTGAATTTCGGAAAGAAAAAAATCAGAGGAGTTGTTGACAATATAATACATTTATCCAGATTAAAATTAAACCATTTTGACGATTTTTAATGTTGGTTCTGCAGCGATAAAGATGCCCCCTCCTACGGCATCGGAGCCATTACGCGTATACTGCACATACCGTGCAATAGGCCTGTTTGGACAAAAAAACCTAGGTGGGTAAAACGCGGAACTCTCATTTTAAAAGGTCTTCCCGGGTGAATTTCCGAAAGAAAAAAATCACAGGACTTGTTGACAATATAATACATTCATCCAGATTAAAATTAAAAGATTGTGACGATTTTTAATGTTGGTTCTGCATCGATAAAGCTGCCCCCTCCTACGGCATCGGAGCCAGTACGCGTATACTGCACATACCGTGCATAGGCCTATTTGCACACAAAAACCTAGGTGGGTAACACGCGGAACTCTCATTTTAAAAGGTCTTCCCGGGTGAATTTCGGAAAGAAAAAAATCAGAGGAGTTGTTGAGAATATAATACACTTATCCAGATTAAAATTAAAACATTGTGATGATTTTTAATGTTGATTCTGCCTGTGTAAAACGCGAAACTCTCGGAGGCCCATACCCATTGATTGCGTTGCCTGGGCAAAACATGGAACTATTGATACAGAAGGCCTTCCCATAAACATGTGGAGGATATAAGACAATTGTTGACATTGCAAATAAAACATTACGATTATTCCATAATGTTACTTCGGCAGAATTCGTTCTGCAGCGGTACATTATCCCCCTATCAACTGTTTAAAACACGTGCTTCTCAGAGCACTGGGTCACAGCTGCACCCTTGGTTTGTAAACGGCATGTATCCCTGTACAGCATGTGTTCTGCACTGTTCTGCAAATACTACACACAATTATTATACGACGGCACAAACAGGTGGGAAATCTTTTATTTTCAATTTATTTAAGGGTAGAATGTGACGATTTTGGGACTTAATAATGAGATTTGTCGCATGTTGTACTTTTAAAGCCAGTATTTCATCTTAATTTAGTGTTTTATTAACAATTTTGCAGAGTTCCGCAGAGTTCTGCACGTTCTGCAAGTTCCGCAAAATACCCACACCCTTTATTGTGCGTGTACATGAACCATATCCACCCCCTCCCCCCCCCCCCCCCCAACTAAAAAGGTCAATCCTCATCAACCGGTTCCATCCCATTTTTGGGGGCGGGGGGGAGAGAAATCTGAGTGATTTAGGCCTAAAACTTTTTGACCCGCCCCCAAATCTGCCAATTAATGTATGTTTATCCCACCTTTGACCCCGCCCACTTATGTATGTTAATAATCCTTTGGCTTCCCATGAGAAATGCAATGAACATAGACCGATCGCAACACACACAATACGACACACACAAAAAACAGATTAGTGAAAGTTCAACCGTTCATCAAATCACAAGTACCGACGACGGATCGGTAGCGGGCGTTTTTTGACTGTCGGGGACGGCCGGGCCGGGGATCTAGCGCGCAGAGCGGGCGGGGCCAAGCACAAAATTCGGTCACCAACACGGCAACAAGGAACCAGAACTCAGACAAAAGGTAACATTTTTAACAATCATTCACACGATCATCAAATAATAATGTTGACTTAACAATACTATATAACAATGTTGTTCTTACCAAAGGAAGACTGGCAAAGCAAAACGTTTTAAAGCTCAGGAATAACGAAGAAAAATCCACCTAAATTTTGATTCTTGGGTGCCAAGTTGGTAAAATTTTTAACAGTGGGTACGGGTAATGCGATGCGACGGGTGTCCTGAAGTCGCATGTGAAACAGTGTGCACAATTAAGTGAGAGCAACCCAACATCAAACACAGGGTACCAGCCTAGAAACTGTTTCGTGAACTTCAACTTCAAGGGCACTCCAAACTTCCACTTTAGTTTGACTAGTTTGAGGAAAACTTAATAAAAAATTAAAACAGCTTGTTTCAGTTTCAGTGGTGGTAAGTACAACGTGATAACTAACGGTGAAAGACAATGTGTAGAAAGCAGTTTTATTACTATGATACTGTTCCTTACTCTGTGTGTGTGTGTGATTCAGTGCACGTGTTTCTATGTATATGGCCGGACTACATATGTTGTGCCCATTCTTGAAAATCACGCATTCTCGAGAATGGGCATGCACATTCTTGAGAATGTGCAACTAGATCCTTGCTCAATCTTGGCAAAAAATAACTCTTCCAGATTGAGCGCACATTCTTGAGAATGCGCGACAAGATAACGGTCTTGTCGATGCCGAGCACCGGCTGCGCTTGGCAAGTCTAGCTAAATCCTCGTTCACTGATTCTCAATAATTATACTGTTGCAACGCAATGCGCTGAAAAGTAGAGTGGATATGATAAGTAAAGGCGTATTGATAGGGGGGGGGAGGGGGGGCGGGGGACCGGGAAAATATAAGAGACATAATAATACTAGTGCAAAGAATTCTGATTTTTGGGATAATAAAAGCGGGGGGGGGGACGTAAGAATGAAGAATGTGAAGAATGAGAATGAATACTGCGACATCCCATAGTGCTAATGCTATTTCCCATTTAAATTGCCACCAATTTATTGTTCACATCCCACCATAACGTCGCAGAGCTGGATTCTATCTAGTCAAAAGAGTAATTTTGGCAGCTTCTGGACATCGGGTTTTTTCGTGGCACGCATATGATACATGCAGGGACTTGTAACTTGTCTAGCCTAAACAAAGCACTTCCCAGACTAGTTCCCAGTCCTCCGTTATTACAAAACTTCCCATAGTGGACAGAAAAAAGCAATAATAACAGGTTTAATTTGATTCAAATTATCGTAGTTATACGAGTACAGAAGCATAGCACATTTTCTTTCCTCTTTATATGAATTGTTTCCCTTTTAACCGCTATACAATTCATTTAACATAATTATGTCGTGCAATGTTTGTTAAGATTGGGCAAAATTCATAAATTGTGCACGTGATATTCCCACCCAATCTTAAGAATGAGCGCTCATTCTTAAGAACGCGTGCTCGTTCTTAAGAATGGGCGCTCATTCTTAAGAATGCGCGCCCATTCTCGAGAATGTGCATGCCCATTCTCGAGAATGCGTGATTTTCAAGAATGGGCACAACACATACACTGTACAGTGCAGCATTCCTCCTGCAGCAGTACTCCCAGGGTCCTAATAATAATAAAATAATCTAGGCCTATTTTTGGAAGACAATATTTAGGTATTCGTAAAGACTAAAAGAGTGTAGTATCCTGATGCCACTTCTGTGGTTGTGTACAAAGTCTATGGAGAGTTTTGTGCATTTTCAAAGTATTTCTTAACACAAATTTGGAAATAATTCTCAGTCCCAGATGCAAGCGTTAAATTTATACCTGCGTCCATTATGGTGACTCGAAAATACATTGTGGCAGTGTGGTCAAGCCACGATTGGGTGTTACTATATACCGGAAAATACCGGAAAACACCAGAATTTTTTTTCCAGTATTAATTGAGATTTGTTTGTGTTTTCCGGGAATTAGTGTGTTTTGCGGTATTTATAATCTAGTGTGTTTTCTGGTATTTGGTGTGTTTTCAGGTGTTTTTTGGTAGTTAGTGTTTTTTGGTGTTTTCCGGTATTTAGCATGTTTTCTGGTATTTAGTGTATTTTCTGGTAATTTTCTGGTGTTTTCCAGTAGTTTTCCAGTGTTTTCCGGTAGTTTTCCGGTGTTTTCCGGTATTTTCCGGTGTTTTCCGGTAAATAGTAACACCGCCTTGATAAGCAAGCAGTGGATCATATTGAGTGCACAGATAATGCATGTTGACTTTTTGTTGATGAATAATGATAGAACAAGATGTTGGAGGTGGAAAATGGTATTTAATAACAAAAGAATTAAAACATTTAATATGATGGAATTGGAAGGCACTAATCTGGGAGAGACAGAGTAAACAATCGATTTGGGTATAGGGCCTATAGCAATGGATTTCAAATTGTTGAGCTTAAAATTATTTTGGAAGATTGTTGTATGAACAGACAGAGAGTACATTTTATTTGTAGTGTTTTTTTTATTGGCATTTTTATTGAGAGAATAGTTTTGCTTCCGGTTACTCATGGGTTACCCTACATGTAGCCTACCTACGCTATTTTGACAGCCCCTACCCTAGCCTAAGTTTCTTCTGGGAAAAATGAGGAAAAAACCTGTAAATTATCAATCACTACCTTTTGCCCTTGACTACACGCAGACACCTCCTAATGATGACATTCCACTAGCATTACCAACTGTTAAACTGTTTATTTGGATAGATGATTCATACAAATTTGTTGAAACATTTTGCTACAGGCGTACCTTACAATTTTAAACCCCTCACACATGCACCCCACCCACAAGTTCATTGCAACAATTGTGTTCAAGAATTGAGCAATTAAGAATAGACCGTATAGACCATTAAGCCACGCCCCATGACAAAATGACCAATTGGACTGTTAACATCAATAGGGAAATCTTTAGAAATAAAAAAGGTAGACAATTATTTCATTGATCAGAAAATTTTGCTGTAACCAGTCTCCCCGTACCAAGTAAAGTAGAGCTACATGTAATATAGTTGGATACTATACCCTAAGTTTATTTTGCCCATGCATGCCTTATTAGAGAATACCAGGGGTTAACTTTTGTTGTGTTTGTTCGTAGGGTACCACAACTTTTAGGCTCAGCTGGGCCGGATACCGGCCTGCCAAACTCTCACGCTTTCAGTGTGGGACTCGCGCATTTCCTGTTCTTCTCATGCTCTCACGCCCACATGGGACTTGTCGCGCTAAAAAAATAAATAGATAATTGACTCAAACTCGAAAATGTTTTAATGATCATCTTTTGCTTAACCCTAAAGGGGCGGGGGGAGGGGGGGGGAGGGTGGAATCCGCTAAAAAAAATAGCCTCTAAAAAATGTTTTTTTTGCGACCCGAGCTGTTATGACTTCTTAGCCTCGAGCTTCGCGTATCTTCTGATACCAAAAACATAAAAATCAGACCATGGGTTGCCGCGTAGCGGAAAAATTTTCGCCGCTACGCGCCATGAAAACTGAATTTTTGCATATACGTCGTGTACACAGAGCAGAATTGCCATTCGTAGGCCTACATATGAATAATTAATTAACCATAATTCCAAAACCCTTTGACCTAAAGTCGTGAAATTTCTTGGGTATATTTAGGAAGAGTTGCTCTATGCATGTGCTGAGTTTCAAATTTTTTTGTCACTCGATGGCCGAGATCTTGGGGGGGGGGGGGGAGAATTGGAACGGCAATCTGGAGGTCGCAGGTTCAAACCCGCTCCAGTCAATTTCTTTATGCAACTTTAAAATCAAGCTTAATATGCAGTGCAGTTTCCATCTTGAACGCATGTCTCCATGGTATAAAATTGAGTGTACTTAACTGCTTATGGGCATCAGTTATATAAACACGTCAATTATGTAAATGACAATGCAGTTTTTACACCAGACTAACCTCCATCGACTTGCCACCGGAGCTGCTGTTGGTGCCTCAGTTTTCGCCATCCTTACTACTTCCTCTTCCTAATGCCAGGTATACGACTACGAGTAGTCTTGTCTGCTATTAGAATCTGTCGCAACACATCAAATGGAAGTTTCCTTATTATGTGCCAGGTTTTATTTCCCAGGTTTTTTTTGTTTTAAACAAGGGTTTGGCTGATGTATTCTCAGCTTTCCAAACTGCAGGTAGGCACCCTAAGCGCTGTATTACATATCTGCCAGCAATTTTGAATGTAAATGTACATGTACCATTGGCAAGTGTAACTCTACGTGTGTGAGTCTGTATACGGTGGTCCTAAAAATTAATGATGCCGAACTGCCATTTCTAGTGCCTGGAAATAATTTAGTTCAACAGATGTCAGTGGAATTATTATCAGACTGTCTGCTTGAGCTGCAGCTAAAGTGAGTCTGCATTTTGTAATGTAGGAAAGGCCTTGTCAAGGAGGTATAATTTCAATAATCATTAAAAAATGGGAATTTGCCATTATTTGATTGCATCTATCTTTCCGGATTATACTGCAAATTTCTTGAACAGTAAAAGCTTTCATGCCATATGCCGTATATTTCCTCAGATTCCACCGCTTACAAAAAAAAAAAAATGGAAAAAAGAAATTTGTAGACCAAACGCTATAAGCCTCCTACTACTATAAACGGTCACAGACAGTCAAAATTTCCATCCACTTTGCCTGCTATACTTTTAACACAGGCTAGTCACCAACAGTCAGATCATATGTCAAGCAAGCACTGTGACTAGTCAAACTCAGTCAACAGACCATGAACAAAGCAGGCAAGTTGTGGGCACAGCTGGCTTATCAATCACCCACAGTCAACGCAAAGCTGTATCAAGTTACATAAACAGTCACAGCCAGTCATCAAGTGCTTTATGTAGGCTGTGAATTCTTAACTGTTGAAAACATCACTTGATTGATTTTGACTGAAAGGACAACTTGACGCACAATGTATGTTTGCATCGGAGGGTTACTTAATAAGCTCCAAGGTACCGGTATTCCATTGCTCAGTAAGAAGAAATTTAGCTTTTATTAATGGCATGTATATCCATTTTTTTTGTTTCCAAATGTGCATAAGCCGCTTTTGATTCTGAACATTGAGTTAACTAATAATCCAAAACAAACGGATGTTTCATTCATTTTAATGCCGGCTCGCTGAATTCACTATTTTTTTAAAAAAATAAATGAGAGATGTGTTGTATTAAGTATTGGCCTTGTGGGATCTCTCTCACAGATCTGTACCAGGATATTTATATTTATAATTTGAGTGTTTGCAGAAAATAATAATGGCATTGCGATGTATCCAATCAGTGTTTTGCAAGGACTTTGTGCAGGAATTAACTGTTGTCTATAACTACATGATATTGAATTGAGAATACATTGCATGCAATTGCACACTGTAAAAGTACTAGTGAGGACCCATACTGTTTCCTTTTTGTTCCTATTGTTTGGACTTGGAACTTTTTTTAATGTTTTTTCTGGAAAAGTGTGTATGTGTTCTACATAATCCTCGAGGACCGACACACAAAGGGAGACAACAAATCCGTCCAGTCCTCGGGCGTTGGGTCTTTTTTGGTTGGAAATGGTCCTCTGTAGTAAGTTTGTGTGCTTAAAGTCTATGCGAAAGTGTTATGTATTACAGGGACAAGGGGGAAACACAAAGCATTGTCCTCGATAGTATAGTAAAACAAGAGTATGTGTGACACTGACAGTGCGTGTGCAAGACCAATTTTTAGATGAAATACGCAGATCTACAAAGTCTGATTTGTTTTAACACATGGCATCAACAATTGCAGTTTCAGTTTGACATTGACTGTTAATTACATATATGTGCCCTGACAAATTTGTTCCCTACTACTGAAATGTCTGTAGTATGTATCAGCTCAAGTTCTAGATGGAGCATGCATAAAAAATGTGATTACACAGTGGTGAAGTGTGCACTTGTAAATGTCCTCGAATAACAACAATTGCCCTTGCATTTTTATTGCTGCTAAGTTGCCCTTATACTACTTTATGCACAGTTTAATCTTGTGTGGTTTATGTGAACTACATGTGAATTTAGAAATAATAGTTACCTTTCAGAGTCTGATTTTGTTAAGCATGACGTAGCTTTCAGACTCTGAAAGGTAACTATTATTTCTACATATATATCAATATGACAGAGTCTAATATCAGTCTCCATGCTGCTACATGTGAATTTCTTTTCATTCTAAGGTTATGTATATTTCAAATTTTTTCTTCAGATCAAAAGGATGCCTGACATTCTGATGCTACTGTGAAAATGGCTGCCATTTTGAAACAGTGTCGGCTGTTGCACATTGGTCAGTTTCGCCAAAGCATACGCCAACTGCACCTCAACTCAAGAAAACTTGTTTGGGCATCCAACAAGACACTTAGGAGCTATACTCCATGCTGTACCAGGACATCACATCCGTTAAAAGTAGCTGCGTCACACCAGCCAGTGAGAACATTCCTGTCTGCACTGTCAGCCACTGGTTTCAATGATTACGAACTTGGTAGACGTCAGTTTCAGCTGGACGTTCCTGAGTACTTCAACTTCGCCAGTGATGTTCTGGACGTTTGGGCGCAAAAAGAACAGGTGCAGATTTAAATGCAAGTGATTAAAAAATAATAATAATTATGTTCCTGACATTAGAAACTTGCAACTTGTCTACTTTTAATGATCAGATTGGATTGATCAATAGATAAACTGGTTGATAAAGTCATTGGGTCAATCAAATTGGTTAATTTCACTTAACTAACTGGTTAGTTATCATCAAGCCATTAACCCTTACTCTCTGAGGGTAGTTTACTGCATGTCAGTTGGTTATGCCAATGCCCTCCAGCTGCAGTTAATTGGAGGATAAACTATCTTGACTGTGAAGGCTCCAATTGGCAGGAGTTGGAGGCCCTGGAGGGTGCCTGATACTGACCAGCTGGGGGCACTCACTTTGTTATCAGAGGACTCTCATTGTTCTCTGTGGCATGTATTGGAGTGCCTGTCCAGTTACCCTTGAAATGACATGGCAGATATTGGAGGGCCATGCAAAAAACATAGGAGATTTTCTTGAGGCACATATTGGCATGCGTTGGAGGGTCTAGTAGGGTAAGGGTTAACCCTCCTATGGAAGCATACATGATAATTGCTTTAATGTTTGATTATGAGTTTCATGAACAATTGATTTGTGTCTTCTTTTCTACAGGCAGGCACAAGGGGCTCCAAGACCCCTGCCTTGTGGTGGATTGACGACCATGGAAGTGATATCAAGTGGAGTTTTACAGATCTCCAGGACAAATCAAAGAAGTAAGGAAAAAGTGTAAAAGTTAAGAGGGCTGACTTTTCAGTCCTAGCTTTCTCCAAAGGCCTTTTTAGAAAAATCCTGCTGGGACTGAAATGTTGCATGCTGTTAATTTTAAAGATTTATACATTTCAGGGTAGGTCAGTCACTGAGCAGTTTGCAGCAGCTTTTCATTTCTCAAGTTAGAGAAAGAGGAATAAATTAAATCTGGTTCTTATCCATCAGTGCTAAATGTGATGGTTTAGACTATAAAGCTGCATTCTTTGAGACTACTACCCATTTGCAAAGTTCGAAGCATTGCTAATGTTGCTAGCATCATGACATTGAGTGTGACCCCTGGCTATACTTGGCACATAAAGGTATATGGCGACTGACTGGCGCGCCTTGAACGTTGGCAAGCTTAAGCCCCAACATCGGCGTCGATATCAGAATTGTTAATAATCAATATATCGGAAATCCAGTATCCAGAATATTCGATATATATCGATTATCCCATGTAAAAGTTAAAGACTAGGAAGATGACACTTTGATTTGAAAAAAATCAAATTCTTAAGTCCCAATTTTTCATGGCTTTCTCTGGAGCATATTGCTCAAACTTTCTAAAACAAATCTCCGCACTGACAGTTTGTCCAGAACGGGCGGTTTCTTTTGAGGTTTTACATTGGGGAGACCGCGAATTCCAGCGAACGCAGAGCACAAAGCGACGCCGCTTTAATTTCACGATGTTTTTATTTTGAGTCGCAAGCACAAGTTGCCGCCAAGGTTTATTTTATTAAATAGCAAACGTTAAAACACAAAGTAAAAGTGCAAATGGGAGATTTATTTTGACGATAGTCTTACGCATTTTCAATATATTCGATATCGTTCCTCAATATCGAAAATTTTGATATTTCGATTGATTAAAAAAGTGCTATCGGCTTTATCGATATCACAATAATATCGAATAATCGATTAATATCGATATATCGACGGTGCTTAGCGGGATAGCTTTTAGTTTGATTTCATTTATTTCCACATCATAATTATAATAGTGAACAATTATAAACGGAATATACGATAAACGTGATGAATGGTGAAGGCTAGCAGAAAGCCAAAGCTTGTACTTGGCCATATCCCGTAAGTAAACAATTAAAGTTTAAATTTAAAACTAGAGAAAAATGTTTAAACTTAAATAAGTAGACTTATAAATAACTGAATTATTACAAAAATAATAGTGATTAATATTGTAAAGATTAAACATTAGGGTGGTTTTACTAAGTGTTACTACTTTTATTGAAAGCATGGCACATGAAGTGGTTGATGTGGAACTGATTGTTGCAGATTGTTTCCCATTTCAATCAGAGTTTGTTTTATAACCAAATATTTAACAGAAAAAAAAAACAATTGGAGAAGAGAAGGCATTACAATTACTTTTGGACCAACTTTATTGATATTCTAACAGCTTGTACATGTACATAACAGAACGTTGGTTCAACACTGAACTTTAAATTTGGTTTTAAACTTTTGGTTTGTATTGTCAACAGAATCATTTCTTTGAAAAATCCATTATAGCGTATCAACAACTTGTGGAAATTAAGTCTGAATAAAAACATTTGAACAAATTTCTTTACTATGATAATGTATTTTATTATAGGGTGGCCAACATACTTACCAACGATTGTGACTTATCGAGGGATGAGTCTGTGACGGTCATACTACACAGAATTCCCGAATGGTGGCTTGTCAACATTGCCTGCTTACGCACTGGTAAGAAAACACACAGGCTAAAAATGAATTCCTGAAGAACATGTTTCTATATGCGATAGTTTTAATATTCTTCAAACTTGGGGAGTCAGGTTGGCAATGTGATACTTCCCTCGCCTTCCACCGTTGTGACCGACATGGATTATGGGCTTATGGTCCCTGCTTGATTCCTTGCGTTTCCCTTGGAATGACATTTTGGGGTTGTCCTCCCACCAATACAAATGTTATATCTACACTGTTTTTCTTTGTAAGGTTCTTTAGAAACTATAGTGCCGGTGGGCTTTTTGGAATCTTGTTCATCACCAGGTAGGATTAAATTTCAGTATAGAAATGATGTTTACCCCAAAACACTTAAACCAAAAATTTAAATAGAATCCAATTTTAAAAATGATACTATGTATTTATGCATATGCAACCTGCCTTATAATCTTGTATTTCTTGATCGCAATGACTAGAATCTATTTTTGTTTTTGGAGTAGTTATTTCATGCATTGTGTTTCTCTTGCGTCCAGGTACCATTCTAATCCCAGGTACTACACAGTTAACAGCACGGGACATCAGGTACCGTCTGCAAAGCTCGGAAACCGCTTGTATCATCACAGATGAACACACTGCTCCTCTTGTAGATGAGGTAAAAACACATTTCCTATGCTATTCACTTTAGTATTCAGTATAAGAGTTGGCAATGTGTAGGCAACCTAGCTATCTCTACTTCGAGCAACGTTTTTCTCCTTAAATCAGTAGGTACATTTGTATAAATGTTCCTAACCTTGGTGTTTTTTCCCCCTCTTTTTGCATACAGTACATATCTGAGTGCCCCAGTGTGAAATCTAAACTGCTCATAAGCAGCAGTGGTGAATCTAGACCAGGATGGCTGGATTATCACGAACTGTACGAAAAAGCCGACAGTCAACACAAGGTGTGTTATTCGCAATTGGTCCCTTGTACCATTTAAAAAGCATGCTACACTGTGTTGCCAAACATTCCAAGGGCGGATCCAGGGGGGGGGGGGCCAAAGGGGGCCATGGCCCCCCCCAAAACGAAACCAATTTTTTTTTTTTTTTAATGTGACATCGCAATAAAGGCAGGCAATGAGTACACCACCATCTTTTCCTCAAAAAAAATTGGTTAAAGTGGTCAGAAATTGCCTCAGATCGCACCACAGAGCATCTAGAATCCAAAAAAATTTCGGGGCCCTCGCGGGCCCCAAACCCCACGCCGTCATTTTTTAGACCCACTTTTTTGGGGGACCTAAATTTTTTTTGGCCCCCCCCCCAAAATTGTGTTCTGGATCCGCCCTTGAAACATTCAGATACTTATTTCGCCTTTGGGACAGCCAAAGTGGAGTGTCATGGCCTGGCGGTCAAGAGCACCGGACTCATGCTCTGGTGTTTCAGAGGCAACAGTGGCATGGGTTCGAGCCTGGGTCTGAACACTTGTGCCCTTAAGCAAGGTACTTCAGATGGGATGTAAAGCCGTATGTCCCGTGTGTTGTGCAATGCAATGCAAGTAAAAGAACCCAGTAACACTTATCGCTAAGAGAAGGGGTTTGCCCCGGTGCTTCTGGCCTCCTGTTAAAACTCCCATGCAGAGTATTTAGGAGAAGAGCCAACCAAGAACCGAGAACCAAGAACAGCCCAGTTTTCCGCAGTTCTTTTCTCTTAATTAACAAAAAGTTGTTTTCATTTCACCAAAGTGTCTTGGTTTCTCAAATATGTAAGATGGTCCTTTGTAATTCAATGAATGATTTTATATTCTGGTTAAAAATAAAGTTTCAAGCCGTGAAATGTATTGGTTTTTCTTTCAGTGTGTCAAGACTCGTAGCGATGAGTCAATGACAATGTTCTTCACCAGTGGAACTACTGGCAAGGCCAAGCTGGCTGTACACACACATGCTAGCTATGGTCTTGGTCACTTCATCACAGGAAAGTAAGTCAGAATATGTTTTCAAACAGGCTTCATGTGGTAAAAATAATTCAGCGTATTGCATGCTTTCGTCGAATGTAATCCGGGTTTACTGCAACATTATGTCAGTAAAAGTACCGTGATAAGGGCAATTGTATTTTTGATATTGTCCTCATCTGGGCATTTTAACAAATTTCACTGGTTCCCGGTCAGTCAAGAGCTTAGAAACTCACAGTTGTCAACCAGTCAACAGAGCGTAGCACTTTCTGCATGACGTATTCGTTACTTCTGGAATTGTGTTGTCCATTTTCTGGCTAATAAAGCTTTCCCAGATGGTTACACCAAAATGGCTGTGGGTCTCACGGCAAACCAAAGTAGCGAAAAACTAGCTCAAGTTTACATTCAAACAGCCAAATCCAAACTTACCCTTCAATCTCTTAATATCTCTCAGATACTGGTTGGATCTGACTCCAACTGACATCCATTGGAATATGTCCGACACCGGCTGGGCCAAGTCGGCCTACAGTAACTTCTTTGGTCCGTGGGCCCAGGGGGCGTGTGTCTTCATAAGCTACACGGCGAGGTTTGATCCTGTCCACACACTGGAGGTATAGGCAATAAAAATGATGATTGTGTACTTACGGGCCCTGTTCCTATTAAAGAACAAAATTCCGTTTTTAGGTCATTGGACTTGCCAAACTAGTTTACAGCAACATTTAAAACCACCAGGAGTGTCGTGGGAAGAGGGCAGTGTTTTGATTTTTAGAGGGATATATTGACGATGAAGACTACAAAACGCAAAGCGAAATTAAAGATGGCGATCACCGCGACGCACCATGATTGTGCAAAACCACATTGATTTGCATGGCATCAGCTACAAAATGGGCAAGAACCAATTTGATGGAATTTAGTTCCATGCTAAGCAGACAAGTCGCATGGTAGTCTCAATCAATTTAGATCTAACATTTTTATGTGGTAACCAGTTCTTACCAAGCAAAATTTTTTTTTTTTTTTAAAGATTAAAACAAATTGTCATATTTTTACTGTAAAAGTAAATTGTTACTTTATAATTTCTCTAACCAATTTTTCTTTTTACGCGGTGTGATTGTCTAATTTTTTTGGGGGTCAAAATATTAACGAGCTGAGGAAGTTTCAACAAGAAAATGAATTGCGAATCTCCCAGTAAATATCTGCTATTATTGCAAAGGTTGAAAAACAAATTAGGTTGTTTGCAAGTTTATTCTGATTGAAGATCAAGATTTTCATAGTGAGGATCGGAATTTTATTGATGTTTTAAGTGATAATTTCCTACTCTTGTGTTCGATACAGCTGCTTCATAAGTACCCAGTCAGCACGCTCTGCGCGCCTCCCACAGCATACCGCATGATGGTGCTTGAAGATCTGAGCAAGTATAACCTCAAGTCAATCCGGCATACCGTCAGTGCTGGGGAACCCCTGGTGAGCAGAAACACATGTTGACGCTTGTTTTGTAATGTATGCTTCCTTGCTCTTGTTAACCATTAACTTATTTGCATAAACATTGGTGAACCCACTGGTTACAGTTGTGAATACCGAAGTGAATACGTCACACGCACAAAATGTGTGTGAAAAACATTACAGCGCGTGATTCAGCCCGTGAACCAACACGCGCGCGTACTCCATTCGTTTGCACTACACTTTCTGGTTCTAAATGACGTCACACTTCGGTACTCCATAGGGTAACAATCAAAGGCTATCAGGAATGGCTGAGCTACAGTTGTATATGTTTCACGAAATAACTTACCGTTTAAACGAGAATAGCTTTTGGATTACTTTAGCCCTGGTGAGAAGCCTCAAGGCTTTGATGCCCTTCTTTTTTTCTTCTCCTTTTGTGAGCAGAACCCAGAAGTGATGGAATCTTGGAAAGCAGGCACAGGCTCCATGATTCATGAGGGATACGGACAGACAGAAACAGTTAAGTCAGAACATTGAAGCTTTTTAAAATGTTAACTTGTGTGTAAAGTCGGCCCCAGGTCGACCCACGAAAATTGCGCCATGACGGAACCGTCGGCATCAAACACAAAAATAATGCTCAGGTCACAAAATTGAGAAATCGTGTGATTGTCGGGGAACGCGTCGCAGAAGCTGAATTTTTTCTACTCTTGGGACTATATCGTCGCAGTTTCCCTCAGGTCGCACAAAATCGGCGACTGAGTTGTTCCCGACGGTCGTAGCTCAAACACAGCTTGATTCTGAAAAGTCAATCGGCGACTGATCTGTGTCGTCGCAAGGTCGACCTGAGGCCGGCTTTAGTGCTCAGACTACACCCCATTCATAAATTCTACATCCATATAAGGTTACTGCGACAAGATGCATTCAATTAGAGAAATTTCTATCCCTCTTATTAGCTGACTACCCTTGAAAATGCCTCTGCGTTGCAGGGCAGAGTTGCTCTCAAGTCAATCACAAATCATATCACAGGTCAGTCACAAGTTAAGTCACAGGCTACAGCAAATTGATTTCAATAGCTTTGTGGCCTAACTTAAAAGGACATTTTCTTAAACTCTATACTGCTGGGATGGTTTCAGTCAAGGAAGAAAGCTCTGTACAGTCCACCTCCTTCATGCAAAAATGTAAGGTCAGTCCACAACAGTTAACGAATTGGTATCCTTTGTTTTACAGGTGCTACTGACAGGCATGTTCAGGTGTCTGGAGCCAAGATCAGGATCCATGGGTAAGGCAGCCCCTGGGTTTGATATCAGCATTGTGGACGAAGACGGTAACGAACTCCCTCACGGACAGGAAGGGGACATTGGGGTGAGAGTCAAGCCCCACCGTCCCGTTGGACTCTTCTCTCATTATGTGGTGAGTTGATGACCTGGTAGTTTGATATTACTCATAGAACTGTGTGACAAGGTCTCTAGGAACACAAGTTCAGGTAGTAATACATAGTTCACTTAAAATGTTTATTTCTAGATCTCATCTCATAGTTTATTACAAGTAACAGTTGATAAACATGTTATTAGTGTGTGTTTTGAGTGGGGGAGTGTGATCTGATACACCGTGCCCTCTGGAGACATGCACACAATAGGGAACAAAAGATTGTTTACGTCTCCTCAGGGCAATTTCTATAGATGAATACATCTCCACAAGGTTTTCACGAAATAGATATATGGATTTTACTTAATTTCCAAGGTATGTTGATCCATCGCAAATCAAAGAGTTTTAGAAAAGGAATATTATGTCAAAATTTCAGCAAAGGAAATTAATTCTGGTTAAAGTAAGAGCATTTTTAAACTACAATTTCAAACTCGAAAACTTTACTACACGAGAACAAAGAAATGTCTCAACAAGGATACAGATTCCAGTATGGGTGGCCTAGCTGTTTAGGGTTTGTGACCCATAATGAGAGGGTCAGGGGTTCGAATCCGGTTGATGGCCACATGTGTCCTTGGGCAAGCTACTTCATCCCCACTTGCCTCTCACCCTGGAGTATAAATGGGTACCGGCATTAGCTGGGGAGTAACCTGCGATGGACTAGCATCCTGTACAGGGGGAATAGAAATATTCTCAGTCCTTTCATGCCACTGAAACCAGGCATAAACCCCGGCCTGATGGGCCACATTGGCTTGTGACAGACTTTACCTTACTTTTTTTAATGAGCAGTAACTCATAATATAACCCCTAATGTTATGCCATGCCAGAATGATCCAGAGAGGACGGCCAGGGCATACCGTGGGGATTTTTACCTCACAGGAGACCGAGCAGTCGCGGACGATGACGGTTACCTGTGGTTTGTTGGACGCGGTGATGACATCATCAACACATCAGGGTATGATGCTATTAAATATTCCTCGATTCTGCAGATTGCTAAGTGCAACGGGTCTGTGGTTTCATTTGATTTTCATGTGATAGATCTGGTGATTTCTTAAATTTCTTTTTATCGCAAAGTAATTTCATTATAAATTGCATGTGTTGATGTTTCAATAAGGTACCGGATTGGTCCATTTGAGGTAGAGAGCGCCCTCATTGAGCACCCGGCAGTAGCGGAATCGGCAGTTGTCTCCTCACCGGACCCAAAGAGGGGAGAGGTGATTTGTTTTATCAACATGTATACTTATTTTTAAAACACGAGTAACAGAAGTCAAGCAGTACTCACCGGGTAGCTGTGGCCAAGTTTTCAGTGGGGGCATTTGAGTAGCTCACCGGGATCGACTCGATTAAAGACAGATGGATAAGCCACGTGATCATCATGCGATGTCCATGGCCGCGGCCATAACTACTGACAAAATGCCCGTTTCGTGTTGGGTATTTGAGATTAACTGCTTTTCAGTCAATTTAATAATTCAAAAAAGTTGGTCTAGAATTATAGCCTGTAAAGTCGCAATAAACTAAATAATTAATCACCTTTAGACTTCAAACAAATCTGATTTTTGGGTCCACTAATTGTAAGACATTTCCGCTGCCCGGCCGCCACATTTGTCCGTTTCTAGGGATGAACAACGCATGTGTGTGACGTATTTCCACCACTGACTCTGCTCCACGAGCAGGGTCTGTGGTGGCTGACCCGGGTGAGCCCAGAGAAAGATGTCAGAGCTAATCGTGTCGGGTGAGCTAAACAAACATACCAAGTGTATACACCTTCATCGGGGCAGTTATGGCTAGTGAAGTACCAATTAGCCTTGCTTTACTCGCCATTTCTGTTTTAACTCTCAATCCTAATTATGTGATATGCAGGTTGTCAAGGCCTTCATTGTACTGACTGCAGACTACAAGTCTGAAGACAAAGAGCAGCTGACGCAGGAAATACAGAACCACGTGAAGAGCATCACAGCGCCTTATAAATACCCTCGCAAGGTATTCTGGTCAGACCAACAAAGTTGTATGATTTAACTCTTTCGCTACGGAATTTTATTTACCGATTTTTCCTCATTTGGACGTAATAAACCGCTGGAAATTCCGCCGTGTGTTGATGTGGACGTCGCCATCTTGCAATGTCTCTCTGTAAACAAACTGCTCACAATAACGTGCAGCAGACCCCGGCGAGACGGAGAGCCGCTGGCAGCGGCTCAAACTAGGGTCCGAGGTTATGCGATATAAATTATGTAGATAAGGCACACGTCATAGGGATACCCTGTTTATTCACAGCGACGTCACCGAGCCGCTGCCAGCAGCTTGCTGTATGACCTGTACAATTTGTGTGTGCCGCTGTCAGCGGCTCGCCGTAGCGAAAGAGTTAACTCCTGAACTCTGGAGTCCATATCAAGTCCTAATTTCTGTAAAATCACGTTGGTATTAGAATCAGACTTAGACTACGGCAGTCATGATTCAGACTTCAAACTGAGGACTTGTGTAATGCGAGTTGCGTTTCTTTACCAAGAATTACTTTTGTATTAAATTTCTATTGTTAATTTTCCATTCGCCTAGGAAACAAAGAAAGTTTAGTATATCTAGCAATATGATTTAGCACTGGTTCTGCCCTTCACCTACGTACAAACACTGTATACTCAGTGTTTATACGGAGTATACAATGTTTATACGTTGGTGAAGGGCAGAACCTAATATTGAATTTACATCACCCTGATGCAAATTCCCGACGCAGATTGTGTTATTCCTCTTTCTTGTCCACTCAGATTGAATTCATGGAGTCTCTTCCCAAGACAGTAAGCGGTAAAATCCGACGGGTGGAACTCCGGAACCAGGAATGGAATCAAAAAGTTGGATGAATTGCTGGATTGCACTGATTATTCGCTCTTCACTAATTGCCTTTCTCAATTGTATTCATTTAAAATATATATTTTTTTAAAATTTTCTCACTGGAGATAGAAAGTGATAGATGAAGGTTCTTAATCAATTATTTTCCAGCTCTATAATTGCTTTTTTTTTAATAAATAAGTTTTTTAATCACAAATATATTCAGCTTTCAAGTGAATCATGTAGTTGTAGTATTATCGTGAAATTTGATTTACATGTATTCTTGCTTACAAATCATGTACCAGAAATTGTAAAAAAAAAATTTTAAATTTTCTTTTTTTGTACAAATCTTTCAATTAAGACCATATTAAAAGACATTTAATTTCCATATACCTATGTAAACACAACTTAAAAAATAAAGGTTACATAAATGATAGACATCCATGGTAATTGTCATTTCCCATCTGTTCATGCAATATACTTTTTTTTTCAGTTAAATATTTTAGGTAGAGGTAGATTTAACTACATTGAAAAGATTTTTCGTTCAAATACACCAACTCTTAACATTCAATTTCGTCCACGAAAAATTTCACATGCATTTACCAAAACCAATTTAGTCATTTACCATTATAGGCCATCAGCCTCGGTCCAAAATGTTGGCCACTGGTATCAAATGAGGGGAATAATCGTCAAAGCGATTTTTGGCAGGGTATACACCTACAGAGTTGGAAAATATGTGATAGCATTGCAGCAGTGGTAGCTTTTTGGGTGTTATTACCTTTTTTCCAATGTCCATCAAAATGCGTGTTCCCACTCTAGGGGCAGTAGACCTTGCGCATGTGCACTATAACCATTTATGATTTGATACTGACCAAACACCAGGCTGATGGCCTATTAAATTTCAAAGTTTGGTCATCCTCTTTAGTCACTGGGTCGAGAATATTCGTCATTACTGATCAAATTCGTCTAAGCTGTTGTGGAATGGCATCATTCTGAGATCGAATTCGTCTTTATAAATCAATTAGACGAATTTGATTTCTGAATAACAAGGTTTGGCGTACACGAGACGAAATGGAATACTCTGGGACGAAAATGTGTGCCCATTGTTTCAATTTGCTTGAATTGAATTTGAAATTGTTTCGACAAAAGATAAAATTATACATTGGAAGTGCACAGAATCGATGTTGCTGGACGAATTTGAATATAGAAACAGTGAATTCGAATGATAAATGTTTTAAAGTAGCCAGGAAAATGTATATTAACTTTTCAAATTTCCACATTGCGTAAAATTGCGTAATTTCTGTATTTATCTGAAGATTAAACAATGTTATTTTTAATGTACAGTCAAATTTTGTAACATGCAAAGAAACCTTGATTTTTAGTAAATTTTCACCGATGCTTTTACATCGGGATGATTCCGGCCTGAAATGTCCGTAATGTTTTGATCATAATTTTTTATAATGCTTAAATTTATTCTAATCATTTTGGGATATTAAATACAGATGCCAAACTATGCATCTTATTTTAAATAAGAATCAATTATGGGAAGCTTTGTTTGTTAAAGATATAGTCCATCATTTGTAATTTGTGCATTTTGTTCGTTTGAAGCAACAAAAGTGTTCAAAATCTAATGAAGGATACTGAACAACTAACCTGATGAAGTTTCAGCTCAGCTTCAGCTGTATATTCCGAGAAAAAACAGCATTCTAGGATCTCAATTTCAAATCATGTTACTGAATCATGTTTTGAATTGCAGCTATACGCGACGTCGCGCACTGATCCAACAAATTATAGCAACCGTGCACACGTGTGCGTCGTGCCAATGCTTGCGCGCGCTTCGCCGAATAACAAAACGAACTACTAATTTAAATTTTCCTACGGTGCGTCATAAGACGCACCGTTGGAAAGGCCTCCTTTCATTGATTACTTCAAAATGACAGCTTCCCAGAAAGAATAATTTCACGGGGAGTTTAGTTTCCTTACTATCTTTCAACCAAGTTTTTTTTTCGTAATTACGCCAGTTACTTTTCGAATGGCTGCAAATGATGGACTATATGGGTAGGCAGGCCTTAGGGCTACAGTGTTAAGTACACTTTTGTTTACCCTGGCCGGTTTGAAATGTTATATTGTTTTTGTTTTCTGTCCCTCTATCTCCTCTCCCCTGTGAAACTGTCCACCCTCCCTTCCCTTTCCCCCCCCACCCCTCCAACCCATTCCTACTTGCATCAGTCTTCAGTCTTGTCTGGTCATACTTCTCAATTTCCATTTTTTGTTTACTTTCTGTTATATATTTGCTTTGTCATTGAACTTTTGTTCATTTGTTGGCCGAATAAATAATAATAATAATAATAATAATAATAATAATAATATAGCTTTAAAAGAAACATACACACACATGGACATCAATGGACAAGAATTATGACAATTTTATTATGGTTAAAAAATCTTATTTCAGGCAATGTGACTTGTGGCCGAGACAATCTGCAAGTTGACAGATCATGATGACCTATTGGGATCTGTTAATAACCAACGCTCCTCACCTATGTATTGTTTCCCCATACTTTTTTTTGTATTTTGCACTGATAAACTATGGGATGGTTCAAAATAAAGGATATTCACCTTTGACAGCAATTTTCACCTAATTATTTGAAACATATTAAATTACTCTAAACTTTGGATTAGAAGCTATTAAAGTACTGGCCTTTTTGCAGAAGTGACGAAAAACTTGTTGCTATTGCATGTTTTGTCCCTGAGCTATGGTAGTTTGAGTCATGTGCGAAACCTGTATGTCCATGGAGGTATACATTCCATCCGATTGACCAAGCTCAGCTACCGGAGCTTGATTTGAAGACAAAATATTAGCATGCTGCAAACAAGGATTGTTGGTTTTACTTCTTTTTCTTTATTGTTATGTAATGTTATGAAACATGAACTTAAGCCAAAAACTCCTTGGTTAGATGAATAATCGGACAGCCTCAATAAAAGTTACCAGGTCAAAACATTTTTTTGGCAAGGTTTTTAAATTTTGTGAACTACAAAAACACCCAATTTAATACATACAATAACATGTGGACAAGACTGATTTTGGTGACTTGTATTCAAATTAGCATACTGAGCTTTTTCAAGCATGCATGGTCAAAGGGCTATACTTTACTACTATGAAGAAACGATTGAAATAAGTTAACTAAGTAGGTGAAAATTGCTGTCAGAAGTGGATATCCTTTTTTTTTTGGAACCACCCTGTACATGTAGGAATCTATTTTGTTGTTGGGGGAATCCAAATTTCACATTACGATCAGATAGTTAGTGACCTATGGTATTTTGATTTGAGACGTGTTATTCATCAGCTGTTGTTTCTTTTGCATGCATCCTCTTGTGTTTCAGAATCTCCGATGATGTGAAGGAGAACTCTTCATTGCAGGTGGGACACTGATACTGCCGCCTCAGTGTTGCCATGCCACTGCTGTTGCCATGGTTACTCAGGGTCTTCTCTGCAGCAACTTGTGCTTCGTCTTTGGCACCTAAAAGTGACAAGAGATCAAATCAATTTTTAAAAATGTGTGAAAGTCAATATTTGTACATGGATTTAATTTTTGTCATATGACATGTGAAGCTCATTCCTCTTGTTGTACAATTTCATTTCTCCTTTTAAGAAACCTACAAGCAATGGCAGCCTGTTTGAAAATTTTGGGTAATAACAAGCAATTTTCAAACCTTTCAAAATGGCTGCCTTAGGTTGTTATTCTACCTATATATTTTCGAAGCACAAACTTGTGATGGCGCTTTAGCCAGACATCTTTCTCATGACATACTCTGTGTGCCAAATTCTATACCCGTATCACCATCTGCAAGTTAAGCAGTATTTCCTCACCTTGAGAGTGTTGCAGGCATTCTGCCTCGTGCTGCAGTTTCTCGAGAGTCGTGATGATCAAGGTCTCGGTGCAATGGGGACAAGTCCAGTGACGACGGACGACTGAGCTGTACTCGCCCAGAGGATCGCTGGCAACGTTGTATAAACTACAAAATAACGAGTAACACATTTTTGAGCATGTCATTATTTCAACTTTTAATCTGAAGGTGCTTTCCCTTGAAACCTTAATACTCAATCCTTCAAAATCCTCGTCCAACCCTCCAAATGTATTTTTAAGCATTTGGGAGGGTTAAGATTGCCCTCCCCGTACTACTTTAGAGTTTCATCCCGAAAAATTGAGTTTTTAAAATGCTGTTTTCCTAGCAATACAAAAGTTATTCGCTTTTGAGTGAGACATCGAATGATGAATTTGGCCATGTTTAGTTATGTAATAATCAAAGTTCTTGAGTTATTAACGGACCAACAATTTAAGGTGAATATTTTTGTCCTTAGAAGCTCAAAAGCAACGAAAATAAAAACCTGTTTTGTTTAGAGGAATGTCCAAAATGGGAAAAGAACTACATGTACTTCTTTGTTAAAGTAAAGCAGACGCATGTTATTTTAAAAAAGTCATTTCAAGAAGAGATTTAAATTGACTTTGTTAAAAAGAGCACAGTAGGAGGAGCAATTTTAGAAAAATATTTCAAGGATAACTTACCAGCCGTATGTCAGGTAGTCATTGACCTGTGTTCCTCCTTTTGTTGGATGGGGTCTACCGTCCTTGCTCTGAGATGTGAAAAAGGCATCTTGGCTTCCTTGCCCTGAAGTTAAAAAAAAAAAAAAATCGAGAAATTAAGAATAAAAATCTGGCAAAAATTGAACAATAAAGATAAATGGCCTCATTTGTTCATGAAAAAAATAATCGGCACACTTCAGCAATGCTGGCCTAGAACAAGATCATCTTGCTCCTTGCACCTTCCCAAAAGCTTTACCTTTCACGCTTTTACCATTTTTAATGAATCTGCAATTTCATGAGAAGTATCCACTGAGCTGAAACTTCAACAGTATTAGTTTGCATTATACACATGAAGTGGTTACTTTCTCTGCATTTTGCTTTTTGGTTGGTGTTATGTGTTGCATGTTACCTTTTTTTTTTTTTTTTAAATTTTGTTGCCAATTTTCCCGTGTTACATTGGATTTATTTTACTTTTAGCACTCTAAAGGTGCATGTGGTGTTTATTAATAATAGATATTTTAAATGCTTTTGATTTGGCGCTTTTTTTTTAGTTTTTAATTGTTTTCTTTCGGCAAATTAACTTGCATTTGCAGTTTTGTTTGCTTCCATGTTTTAGTTCTTATCACTGTAGCACTTTAAGGACTTTTATATTTTCATTTTAAGTAGTTTCATTGCCCGTGTTTTATAGTTTTTATTGTGAGGCACTTTGAGGTATGTTACATAAAGCACCATACAAATGCCTTTATTATAATCATTATTATTAATATTTTTTAAAATGGCACAGACATACCTTTAATGTACATATTCCAAACCAGCACTCACCTTTGTTTGGGCCAATGTACAGGTTTTGTAGTTCAGTGGAGCCCAGCTTGCGCATGGTGTACTCGACATGGCAGTCCAGGAACTCGGCCAACTTGCTGGACAATAGTCTCTCCTGGTGAAGGACCCTCAGGTTACTGGCATCGGTGATGTCATCTTGATGAGACCGGTTGGTATCTTGGGTGAAAGATGATGGGAAACTTAAGAAAGAATTGTAATGACTTTCTAAATATTGCTTCCAATGTAGTCTGTAGACCTCATGCTTGGCGGCCATCTTAGAAACCATTGCTTTTTTACCACTAGGACAGTATTGAGTAACATTTCTGAGCATATGTTATGTTTATTTTAACTGGATTAAAACAATTTTCAAATGAACCACAAAGGGACAATGACTAGTTTCTTTTAGATATTGACTAAATGGGGAACCGCCAACCTAGGGTGGGATAGCTCAGTTAGTAGAGCACCGGAATAGCAATCCGGAGGTCGCAGGTTCAAATCCCGCAAAAATCAATTTCTTTGTTCAACTTTTCAAAATGAATTAAAATGAAGATCCTCTAAAGGCCTATTAACACATACGCAATTTTGTCGCAAAGACTTTGTTGCGTAGCAATGTCGCATACGCGTTTGTGTTTGTACAAATGCATAATATGTCGTGTGATTTTTTCCGTCCATCTTTTGCAACCAAATCAGTTCAGGCAAAGGTTCTGGGTGAAATTCGTATGTGATGTTTTGTGTCATACGATAAAATCACTTGGAATTTAATAAAAAAAAAAAAAATAGCACGCACAGTCGCAAGTGTAGGCACGTTCATTGATTTGTGCGTATTTATAAAAAGTGCCACATTGTCGTGCGACAAAAGTCGTGTGTGTTTGTAAAAAGGCCCTAATTTGGTCATTACACACAAGTTATGTTGTTTTCAAATTCTTCTGCAGTATAACAACACAGGCAATGGGGAATTCACAAAAATGATATTCAAAATTCCAAGCTGTTATTTTTGGTACAAGTGGTCTTTAATTTATAATGCCTCTCGTCATTTTTTTCCCCGACAATTTTCGGTACCTTGTAATCTCATTTCCAGCAGTTGGAGCCAGGCAGCTCTCAGCTGAATCACCCCTGACATTACGTGCTCCGCCGTGTCAGCGTCATCGATGGTGAACTCAATCCACTCATCAACTACGATTCTGAGACGAACAAAAGTCCACAAGTTATGTTTTTTTGCTGACATAATCAATAAAACTCAGGAAACATATTCTATTCCAAAGATAAGGGTGGCACAGAGAATGATGTTGTGTTTGTCCTATACGCCATGAGGCCATGTGGCATAACATGGCACGCAGGCGTACTACATTTGTTGGTGTTCTATTAGCACAATTGGGAAAAATTAATCTTCATGCAAACATGATGCAAAATATGCAGCACATACACTGTTGTGTTTTTTCCAGCATCCTATTACATGTACTAGAACAGGCACATCTAAGAATACAGTGCAATACACGCTGTGCAACACACACTGTGCAATATGGGTTATCACACTGTTCTTGCCATGGATTTACCAATTCCGATCAAAGATTCAACTTTGTTTCAAGACAATAAAATAAATACATGAAGAGATGATGTCAAATACCAAACGGATAATACACACAAATTATAGGCTACACTTCTTAAATTTCGGGCGATTTTTTTATTTTGAGCATGAAACAAATTAGTCTGCTGAGCCTCCCCCCCCCCCAAAAAAAATCAAATACTAGATCTACCTTGTGCATGCTTGGTTGGTGTCCAGACAGTTTGCATACAGCAGGACAGTTTGTAAAGCTGGTACCCTCATAGTGTTGACAAGGTATGGCTTGTTTGTCTCCAGCAATGATCTGATAGGCAAAAAATATAAAAACAAGTCACAAATTGGTGAAGTCCGCAATACCGGTAAAAATTTAGTCAGTATTTCAGGTAGAAAATGTGCAGACTACATTTAAGTATTTTTCTGACAGAGAGATGTACCAGCTGACAGTTTCAGCTATGCACAGCATGCATATTGTTCTAAACGTGCGCATGGTGCTCGAAATTTCTTTGCAGTATGGTGCGGCACAGCTAATGCGCGTCGAAAAATGCCGACATGCGTGACAATCTTTAGGCAGTGACGTCTTTTGAGGTAGACCTAAAGGAGGGTTAATTTATGGAACTGTTTAGCAAAGCATGGATGTAGGGCTTAAACCCGTTAGCACCTGAACTACGTTATACTGCATTGTATTTGTACCATGATGAATGAATAAAACCACAGAGAGCTGAGCGGTTTTGGGCGGTAATGGGGCAAACGCCAATTCCAAATCACTGTCTTTATTTTGAAAAGTTTATCTTTCTTTCCCACGACCAGCATGCTTCAGAGCAGACTTACACGTAGGCAATCAGCTGGTGTCTGCTGCTTCTCACCCCTCTGGAACTGGAATTGCCAGCTTCGTCCTTCTCCTCTGGCGGCTCAAGAGCGGACGGATTGTTGGCAAACACACCGGTAGGATGGAGTAGTACAAACCCTTTGGCCTGCAGTCAATGGGAACACATTGATATTCACTTAGCCTTGGTCAAGGTGTTCGGCGGTAGTGTCCGATAATCGATGGTTGGCCGCTTACATACACAGCAGCCGTGCGCTATGTACTCACACAAACGTATGTACCTCTATGAAGTGCGAATAGCGACCTCACGCAACTAGGTTACAGGATGCAAGTCAGGTGGTGCTGAATGAACGCATTGGAACATTCATGGGCTTTGGCTTAACTTTTTTTTTACGTTGTGGCGAATAAAGATGCGGTTATTATTCAGTGCGTGGTCATGGAGGCTCATTTTTTACATGGACATAGAGCTGAATAGTGTAGGTACATTCTCCAAAAAGTTTGAAGTCGGCAGACCAAATATAACTGGGAATAAATCCAGCAAAGAAAATAACGTAAAATTGCCTGAAAAAGATTGGCCATCGCTATGGTTGTTCCAAGGTGTTCATTCAGCCCCACCTGATTTGCATAGCGTACGTAGCCTAGCCGCGTGAAGTCGTATTCGCGCTTTGCACATTTCGTGTGATGTGGTGCATTGTTCTTGGCCAAGCATTAATCACCGCACTCTATCGTCGAATACCTCGAGTCCTCGACCAAGGCTACTATTTACTGTGTGCCTAATACTTCATTGATTAAACAAGCTTGTGTGAACAAATCTTGATTCATTTCTCGAATCGCTGATATTTACAAACCGCAAATGGCGTTTTGTTCATACTTTGGTATGGAATACTTGGTCGCACTCTCTGCGATAGCTATTGCAATCATCGGCGATAGCTAGCTGTGGGTAGAGTCCACTGCACAGAATCACCTTCAAGAGATTCAACTCCCTCAGTGTGAAGCTGCGATTCAGGCTTGCTGTGGTCTGTATAAATCAATGAAATATCAGAAATGTATAAGGCAGGGGCAGATCATTCCATGACCCTGCGAAGTACACAATTTTGTTGACTGAAACTTTCTCTATTTCTTGGAGACTACAAACAGTATAAGCAAAGCCAGTGGCACACTTACATCAGAGGCAAACATTTGCTTAAATATGCGTTCTGGCAAAACGAGAACTGGGCAGAGATCGAAATGAAGGTTTGTGGGTACTAGTAAAGAGAATACAATTCTGCGTGCATTACTGTTTGTTGCACTTCAATCGGACATTCTGTTGACAAGTTATGGCTGTCTAAAGTCTTCATTTATCAACATGTCAAAAAGTAACATACATGTACTGAGAAGGCCATTAAAATGTCAAGCTTTTCAGGTCTCGTAACTGGATTCCATTTGCTAAAGCACGTAAAATAAGGGCGCCTGTGAACACACTTGTTTAAATCGCCTTCATTTATTGCTTTCTTCCAAACAATACCATTTCAGGCGAAATAATTTTACAGGGTTTTTGGTACCATCCCTATCTTCAACATGGGAAAGAATTTTCTTATTAATCGGCAGGTCACTTTCCATGTTTTCACCAATGTTCCTCCATGTATTCGCCTTTAATGTTTCAGGGAGAATTTATTCTTTAGGTTATATGCTAATGCATATGTATTACATATACCCGCGGACAGATAAAGGGAGAACTACAGAATTTTTGTTGTCCTCGAGCGTTCACCTTTGGATGAAAAGGGTCCTCGATCATAAGTGTGTACAGCTAGTCTATGGGCGAGTTATATTATAGGGACAAAGGGAAACACAAAGCCTTGTCCTCGAGAGTATAGTAAAACACGACTGTGTGCATTATCTGTGTTTTACCTGTAGGCGGTTGAGGTTGTGGGTCAGTTTGAACTCCAGGCTCTTCAGGTCACTTCCTGGCTGCTCCTCCTCCTCATCACTTGCATCCAAGTCCTGCATCCAGGTAAATGAGACAAAGAGTCAAACGTAAGTAATCTGAACTCATCCACAAGTTTTGGAAGAAACCCAAAAGGACATCCAGTTTTGCAACAAACATCAGAGGGTTCTTTGCAAATTCTTATTTTTTGCATTGCCTTCAAGACAAAATTTGGAACTGGTAAGTGACTTGAAACGAATCCATGTGCAGACAAGAGAGGGCGCTGTTTGACCACTTTCAAGCGCCTAGTTGACGGGACACACAACGTTCGGTACTGGTTTGGGGACATAATTGCAGCAGAGGTACGCACAAGTACAAGTAGCGTCTTTGCGTGAGTGCTAGGCGTCGTCTTCATTGCGTTCGAATGTCTCTCTCAGTGGTCTCCCCCAACTCTCCCTTGGTAACCGGTGAGGGGTTACCAGTGACCAGAGCCCATAAGCAGACCATCATTATGACTTATCGCCATGGTAAATAATAAGCAAACAATACACATGATTTGAAGTTAAGGAAAATCCACTTTTTCCGAAATCAAAAATGCCTACACAAGTCCGAATGCAAAATTTATAATACTGGATATTTTTCCTGGGTAACTTATTTCAGTAACCCTGTGTAGTCAGTGTTGTCCGAGGGTTCACGAGAAAAAAAACTCATACCTTAAAAACTTATACCTCACCTCTTGGCCCAAGCGGAGATATTTACGTTTCTTGGGCCCACTGTGTTCTTTTTTCTTGAGATCCCTCAACTTCTTTTTCTCCAAGTTCCTTTTGTATCTCTCAGCACTGCTGTACCGTCTATCTGACGGGTCACTCAGTCGCTCCACAAGATTATGGTCCTTTGGAGAAGACATAAGACATGATTTCAAATCATCGCAAAACAGGATTTTTATATCAAATGATGATGATGAACCCTCCTATCCAAACATACATTCTGTGCCAAGTTGTCCATTCCGTCAAAATCAATCGAGTGACTGTTTTTAACAGTTAAGAGCTCCCTGCTTACAGGAAGCAGGATAGACTGGCTGTGACTGTTAAACTTGAAACTGCTATGCTTTGACTGTAGGTGATCGATACTCCAGCTGTGCTTGTCCGCTTTTGTCTGTTGACTGAATTTGACTAGTCACAGTGCTTGCTTGAAATATGATCTGACTGTTGGTGACTAGCCTGTGTAAAAGGCATGGCAGGGGAAGAGGATTGATTTTTTTTACTGTCTGTTACCTTTCAGATAACAAGAGGGTTATGGTATCTTGTGAGAAGAAGAAAACAAGGTGCCATGAAATTGGTCTCTTGGGTTTCAGAATTGAACAGTTGAAAACTTGCGTTACCCTGAGAAGATCCTCAAACTGACGTTTGAGCTTGGACATTTCGTAAAAGCGTTGCTCCTCTAGGCCTCGCCTCTTGCACCACTTGCGTGATGGTTGACCTTTGGCCTTGACCTGAGATAGGTCAAAGTTCAGAATGGTTAGTTACCGTGTGCATGTCAAGTGTGAAGTACATTTAATTTCATAATACAACCACTGTAATTTTGTAAGGTTAGAAATGAGCTGAAAGTTACAAATTAACCATGGGTGTAAATCGGTTTATTAAATTGTTTCATTCTAAATTTTGCGAACACCTAACAATTGAGAAAATAATTTTTAACAAATAGGCCGAACCTGAATCCACTCATCGAAAGCATTGAGCAACGTAAAGGGATCACCATGATCAGACTCTAGGGGGCGCCGTGCTGTCTGTATAACAGAGTGAAAAGAAATTATAATTGTAACATGTGAGTTTGCTTAATCTTAGACTTAATTATATCAGAAGAGAAGAAATTTTATATAGTGAAAATGGGATGAAATTCCAGCAGAAATCAGTTGAAAAGCAAGCACAATGACATTTGTTACTTTTTTGATTAACTATTAAGCAATAGTCCATTGACCTGTTGCTGTTTGCAAGTTGGCCATGCCCCTTAGACAACCTTATGGAATCTGTGTACGCTAAGTTTTGTTTGTCTCAGATGTTGCACGTTCCACGTCCATTTGTATATCATCTAATTGGACAATATTTCACAAGCTGCGTTGACGCGATTCCAACGCGATTCTACATCGATAGGTCAATCGTTCTTAGCAAAGTTGTGTATTGAAAGATAGCCACAAAATTCAGATAATGTACAGTAACAGCATAAAGTTTTAGAATGAAAAAGTTTCAGAAATTGAATTTTTGATTAAATGTACCATTGCTTCTGAGTCCCTGTGCGCTCTGCTTGTGAACGGAGACTGAACGCTCAGAGCTGCTGCTATACACAACACTGGCTCAATCATCTGAAAAAAATTTAATGATGGAACTTAGATGAAATCATCATTATTTATGGAGATCCTTTCCACTGTATGAACTCAATGCACTACTATGTCCTTTTATCTGTCATGTCTGTAGATTTGAAAGTGTGAAAATTACTTCTGGACAACAAGGCACTAGGGCAACTCCATGGAATTATACACCTCGATGCCAAAACTAAAATCCAAACGCCACAAATAAAACAAGTACACAATGCGTTTATCAAATGTTTCCTAAAATGCGCTTATCAAAAGTTGAATACCTTGAAGACGGTTGCCATGATGAGCATCTTGCCGATGACGACATCGACGGGCAGATCGGCAAGGAGTCGGCCAATGGGAGTCAAGGTTTCTTCCTTGGTCAAGGCTCCTTGCTCCTTAAGAAACAGGATGGAACTCTCGATGCTTGTCGCCGGGGGAGGCTCAATGAAGGGAAATCTGAAATAGAAGGAATAGAATGGTAGAATAAAATAGTGATTTTAATGAAACTGTTACACGCAGGAAACCGTTCAAGTATCTAGGTTTGACTTGGATTTCACGGCAAGTCTAGGAATAGGCTGTTAGTACATGCATTGACTTAGTTGAAGAAACCAAATCTTACGACTAAATACACCTAAATCAGGGCATCTGAAACACGCTGCATAACTAATGTTTGCCTCAAAAAGGCTAATTTATATCTTTCAAATTCAATGCATTATAGCAATAGAATGATCCACTAACATGACTAAACCCCGACACATGACGTTTTAAATGATCACAGCTGTGATTTATGTCCGACAAGGTACAAATGCCCGAAATGTGTGCACAAATGCCTGACATTATGTGCACAAATGTAATACATGTGTGCAGTTGCATATGACACACACATTTGGAACATGCAGTAAGGTGCTGGAGAGGCACACTTGTTTTTGCCAACAAGTGCAGTTCGTAGGGCCTTATGGATCAGTATCTTTCCCCTCCCCTGTCCCCAAAATTCAATCAACTTACTTTCTAGCATCATGGAGTCCCAGTGCCATCATCTGCAGAATCAGTGAGTCCAGCGGGACTCGGTGGATCTCAGGCGTTGAGTACTCCTGGAAATCATTGTACTGAGACTCCTCATAGAGACGAAAGCAAACACCGGGCCCAGTACGTCCTGAGAAAAAAACACATTGCATTTACATTTTGTTGTTAAAGACAGTCACATCAATTTTTTCTTTCACCAGCATAATTCGGCTTACATCTTTGTATACAGTGGAATGTCGCCATACGGAACACCGCTATATGGATCATTAGGCTTTACCGAACATTGTCCTTGTCCCCCGATTTTTGGTGTACAAAACGTACAAACACTGTTCGGTACTGGTTTTACTGATACAGAACTTCTGGGCCTATTCTTCCTATAAACTGCATTTTCTTGACACTGTCAGGTTCTCCTACAAAGCAAGAATCCCTCGTCAGTCTATCCTACCTGCTCTTCCTTTCCGCTGTTCGGCGCTGGCTCTGCTGATCCAAAACTCTTGCAGTTGTTGCATCTTGGCCTCTGCATTATAGCTCATCTCCTTCACCTGCATGGTGACCAATCAGATTTCACCATTTCATTTGACTTTGGGTCAAGTCGGTTTTCGTTTTTGATTTTGCACAACACTAATCAATAACAACCATTAGGCATGTCATAAACCTACAAAACAAACTTTCCCAAAGAGTAGTTTTTTGTGAACAACACTTACTTTACCCGAGTCGGTGATGAAACGAATTCCGTCAATAGTCACTGACGTTTCTGCAATGTTGGTTGACACGATGCATTTCCTAACACCTTCTGGGGCTATGTCAAACACCTATGAGTTGCAAGGGTAAATCAAAATTGCATAACATTACATCAGTTAGTAACTGGGGTTTAATTTTCAAAGGGAGCACAATGGGTGTAGGGGGATCACAATATTTTGTTGAACTTTTTCTTGTGAACAGCGATGTAAGGAAACAAATTATTAGCCCTTTTCTGATGTCGGGCACAATGCTACGTGCAAAAGTATTCCCTCAAGGGTAAGAAACGGAGAGTTAGGGGAGACCACCAGGAGAAATGCATTGCCGATGACGCCTGATGCTCACATGAAGATGCTATGGCTTTGTGCACATACTTCGCGCCAACCAGTAAGCATACACAGTGTACCCCATCCACGGAGCTCACTCGCGAAAGTGGTAAAAAATGCCGTATCTTGTTCGCGCACGGAGCCCATTGTGTCAATCACACCACAAATGGCTTTATATGTTGAACTTACCTTGTCCTGTTCAGCGACAGACAACGTGCTGTGCAGGGCCAGCACAATCCACCGTTGCGTCTTTGCCGCGTAGAGTTTCGCCGCCTCCGTCACGCTGGATATCTCGGACATACCGCTCAGGAAAATGAGCAGGTCCCCTCTCTCCGTAGCTGGGTACTTCATGTCAATCTGCTGCATTATGCGCAAGTAGGGGCGGGGATCCAGTTTCTCCGACTTTGAGCTTTGCTCCTGCATAGCGAAACATACCAATCAGGAAATAATTATCCACACCCGCGGAAGGCACTTTTTAATAATTAAATTTCTTACTTTACTTCTTTCACCTAACATGGTTTTAGGGCTGTCCAGATTATATTGAATTTCCAAATATTCGATCATCATCCAAATATTCGAATAGCTTCTGCTGGTTTATATATTCCAAAGATAAAAACTACGCATGTAATGTACATACATTATCAGATGCCACATTTTGTTGACAGCAACTTTGTTTGTCGACGGCCTTTCATTGTTCATATCCTTTTAGCAAGTTAAAGCCACTGACAGTTATAAAATAATTTTTGTATATTAGGTAATAAAAAGCAATCAAAACATACAACGTATTTCTAGGGTTGAAAGTAAAAAAAAAAGGACAACATTAAATTGGGATATTTCACCTCTATACTTATGGGAACATATTCCAGTTTGATGGGGAACAGTCGCCCAGGAACCTTTAAAAGAAAACAAAAACAACAAGGAAAACAATAAAATAGTAGGCAGAGTTATTCCCTTCATTGGCAAATGACAATAAAAAAGATGCTTGCCAACAATGTAGTTGTCTGACTTTTGAAACCTTTTTATCAGAATAAATACATGTCAGTGAAAGGCAAAACTGTTGTGGGCACTGCCTGGGAGGAGCTGGCTGTTCCTGCTACTGGTTCCTTATTAAGGGTAATTATATTCGGCCGAATACAATTTGCCTTTTTATTTTTGCTAATTAACTTTATAATTTGCTGCTTTACTTATTTCTTTGTAATTATTTTGCTTTGCCTGTATATAATGCTTTGGAATTCTTGCATGAAGTTTCAAGTTGCAGACTAACTGGAAATGCTTGTTGTAACACATTGACCTGTTGATTGATTTGGGAGAATTAATAAAATTTTGTTAATCATATCTTGGTCTCCTTTTTGCCTTTACTTCAAAAGCTTCCCGTTTTCATTACTTATTTCTTACTGCCGTGCGTTCGCTGCACATAACACAGTATAAAACCCACAAGACAAGTTGTACAGAATCCAGGAAGCTTCTTGCCTGGATGACCGGCGCCTTGTCAAAGTAGCTAGAGAAGAGGCCGATATTGATAGTGGCCGACATCAGGACCAGCTTGAGGTCCTCTCGCTGCTCTAAAAGGCAGCGGAGGACCCCCAGGAGGAAATCACCGTGGAGATGACGCTCGTGCACCTCATCTAAGATGATGACGTTGTACTGCTGGAGGGTGGGGTCCAAGCTCAGCTGACGAAGGAGTAGTCCTTTGGAAGAAAAGTCGAAAGATAAACCCATTAGCACTTGTATTTCATTGTTAATAAACATGCGTTTGGCTGGTTTTAAACACTCTTTTTAAGACTGGTTTGTAGTCTGGATGCTTCGGCTCGGGTCATTAACAGCATCCAGACCCCAAACCAATCTTAAATAAAGTGTTTAATACCAGCCAAGCACATACTTATTCCCATTCACAAATACCTTTTCGGTTAAAAAATCAAACCTTTCAGTCCAAAAGCCAAAACAAGTATTTATGAATTGTAATTATTCCCCGAGGAATCGATAAAACCACACCGAACTGGGTTGGTTTTGGAAACAAAAGAGGAAGTAACAGACAGGGTGGTTTGGGGCAGCACAGGCATATGTTAACGATTGGAATCAAGATTTAAAACTTATGAAGGCTATGGACGTTGTGCGTGACTCTCCCTCACTTGGTTACAAAGAGAGAGTTTATAGAAGGGACTCGCACATATTCTAACCAAGACAAACAAAACATGATTGCTGTAAAAAAGCTTGCTTATGGACACAAACAAAATGATTGTGTGCTAGTGTGTATTATCAATAGTGATGTTAACTAACAAATTATTTTCAATTTACCCTCAGTGAGAAACAGAATCTTGGTAGATGAACTTTTGCTGGCCTCAAACCTGATCTGGTAGCCCACCTCCATGCCGTACTCGTGTAGCGTTTCGTAGCCGACCCGTTTGGCAAGGGATATGCAAGCTATACGGCGAGGCTGGGTGCAGGCTATGCCGTCAAAGCCAGCCTTCATCAAGTATTGTGGCACCTGAGATTGAAGAAGAGAATATCGTACCCATCATTTTTAGTTGTAGATCCTTGTGTCCGTTACATGCTTACATTTAAATTTAGTGAAAACTGCTTATTGAAATTGATATTATGTGCCAAACATTGTCTTGAGCCAAAGAAAAATATAAAATTAAACTCAAGAAACTCTTGCACAGGAAAGTGGGATAAAAACAAAGAAAATAGGTTTTAAATTTAAGTTACACCATAAATGTGATTACAATGTCTGATAGAGGATAACATAGCAAAATCTGACATTATAAACTAGTTCTTCAAAATTGGGGGCTTCAGTTGAATACCATTTTAACCCTCCTTCTCTGGCTGGCAATTTCAACAAGGCCAGCCCAGCAGTCACAATAAATCAAGTGACTGTTTTTAACAGTTGAGTGCTCCCTGCCTTCATAAAGCAGGAGTGACTGGCTGTGATCGCTATGAAACCTGACGCTTTGACTGTAGAAGATTGATAAGCCAGCTGTGCCAAGCAGTCACCTGCTTTTGTCTGTTGATGGAATTTGACTAGTCACAGTGCTTGCTGGAATATGATCTGACTGTTGGTGACTAGTCTGTGCAAAAGGCATGGCAGGGGAAGACAATTGAATTTTTGACTGTCTGTAAACTGTTCAGATAGCAGGTTTCCAAAACAGCCTTGTTTTGTCACGGGAAAACATGTGTATATTGTGGGGCTGCAAACCTGTGTGGATTTTCCGCAGCCAGTGTCCCCAGCCACGATGACGACCTGGTTGGCCCTGGTTGCCTGTACGATCATGTCCTGGTAGCGGGCTATGGGCAGGTTGGCTCGGTCGTGAAGTAGCTTGCTCAGCTTGGCAAACTGTTATAAGAAGTGCATTACAAGATCTCAGTTGTGGTACATCAAAGTCCATTCTGATGCATGAATTACAAGCATGATGTTAAATGCAATGACTTATTTCACATGTTGTTGATTGATTTCAAAATGACTGCACAAATCTATTGCATAAATCTTGCATCTTGTGAGAATGTTGTCCCCCTTTTGGAGCACACAAATGACAGAGATGAATGTTCAACAATTCAGGCTGTGTGTGTGCACATATAGTAGAATGTTTTCTACAAAATGACTAAGTGCATTTAAACATTAAAAAGTTAAGCAAAGAAATTGACTGGAGCGAGGTTCAAATATGTGACAGTCAATTTATTTGTTGAACTTTTAAATTATCTTAAACGTAAGTAGTTCAAAACCGGGTTTTGCAGTTTTATTGGTTTCAGGAGTGTCCATGTAAGGTTTGGCTGTTATTTCCTAAAATAGAGTTTGATATGAAATCAGTTTGCTAGATTGTGTTGGATTCCTAACAAATACGGTGAGGGGTTAAGGGTTAAAGAAATAGTCTTTTAAAGAAAAGTAGGTGGACAAATTCAGTTTTATGAGCCAATATTCACCTGCTGCTTTTGAGAGAAGTCAACATAATACAACAGCACCTTGCTGAATTCCTTGATGCGTTCAGTGGTTAACTCATCTTCATCATCTGTTGAAAACAAGTAAAAAAATAAAACAAAAAGGAAATGTAAAAAGAAAGATCTGGTAAAATGTTATTTTCTTGTGCTGGAAAAGCTTAGTACATATTTATTGGTGACATGGTATCAGTCTGTTTTGAGCAGGGTTCGAACCCATGACATGAGAACAATTGCAGTTAGTCTTTCAAGAGAGTTGTAGCTAAGGATGTCTTGCTGTACGTCGGCCTAAGTTATACTGTACAACAATAAGTGATCATATTTCAGCCGATTCTCGGATCTTGCATTTTAAAGCCTATGACAGTACCTTTCTTGCTTGTCAACCACTTTGATCGTCTTTCTGCTTCTTCCACTCCTCTCAACTTCAGTGTCATATTGATTCGCTGTCTCTTGTCATATTTCAGCGGCAATCCGAGAACAGCAGATTTGACAGATTTTTCCTTGTCTTCAACATCATTCTCGTCTGAAAAACAAAACAATGCAATTAAAAAAAACCAAAAAGTTCTTCACTGGCTGATTTTTTTGCACAAATCACTGTCTTTTGCTTATTAGTGACTGAAATATCTCGTTGTCTGCACTAGCAAGGTACAATTTCACAGGAATAGGCTATAACAGAAAGTATCACTAAACAATTTCACCTTAAGGAGATACTCTAAAGATTGTACAAACTTTCAGACACCATTTTTTTGCGGAAGCAATTTTTTTTATCTGTCTGAGTATCGATGTGTCTCAATTTCATTTCCATGCAATTGTCACTTAACACAAAAATACACATATGAACTACAAAATCGACATGCTTAGCACTTCAATGACACTAGCCTGGGTATAATATTTTTCTTGGAAAGATTTAGGCCTATCCAATCAGGAATAGTGGAAAGAGAGATGCTAGGACAGTACAGGGAGATATGAAATACAGATATTTAACATAAATTTACAAAGGGCATTACTGAAAGTATAACTGTAGTTATTACCTCGATGTGGCTGACTGGCACTCAGCTTGAATTGAAAAGCTTGGTAGCGCTCAAGAAACTTCCAAAAATCATGGTAATCTTCGGATTTCCTGTGGTAAAATACAAAAAATACCAAAAACCCTGGCATTTCACACAATATTACACAGATATTGACAAATTCCATGACACGAAGTCACCAAAGCTCAATTACCTTTTGATAATACTGTCATCCCTAAAAAATATTGCATCCAGCTCCCGTCTGTGCCTCTTCCAGTCAAACATGCCATCGTTGTCCCTGGAAGATTTCTCTACTTCAAGGTGTTCTTTTGAAGAACAATTTCCAGACTCGTGTCTAGAGTCTTGCAGTCTCAAAGTCCTATCTTCATCCCATTGGTGAGTTCTAGACAAACCTTCATCTGCATTTGGATCAGTTTGTCTGCTGGAATGTTCAACATCCCTGCTTGATTTCTCAGGCACAGGAATGTCATCGGCAGTGTACCCATAGAGATTCCAAGCTTTGGAAACCTTTCCTTTCCTTGTGCGTTTTTTCCCACGTTTCTTCCCACGTTTCGTCTCACTTCTTTTTGAAGGGCCCTTTCTTGTGGATGAAGCTCTAGTTCCGTCTCTGCTCCTGTGTCTCGACCTTGAGGAGGAGGAATGATAGGCTCTTTTCTTATCCTTTTGGCGATCGGGCATTCGACCCCGGCTGGGATGCTTCTCGGTTCTGGACCTAGAATCATCATTTTTGTCTGCCCTGCGTCTACGTGACTGCCTGCTGTCCCTGCCATCATATGAAGTGTCCCTCATTTTGTCTTTGGGCTCACGTTCACCATGTCTGTGCCTATGACGGGAGTGATTGCGACGTGGGTTATGCCTGCCAGATTTGTCTGATGATTTTAGAGGCTCCATTTTATTGGGGTCGCTGCGTGACTTGTGTAAAAATCCCAGTTATTTTACATATTGGAAGCTAACTTCACTTGCTGAAAGAAAACAGAAAATGAAAATGAATTCAGTGAAAAGTCTGACTTGCACTAACTTGTGTATCCCCTTTATCTCCCCCCCCCCCCCAACCATGGGAAAGATGGCATTTTGGGTATTTGTTGGTTTCCAAGACACTTGAAGACACTGTCCCTGTATGACTCATGTCCATTGACTACATATTTGCTTTAAGAAGACAGCCACCAGTATGGGAAACTGGCCAACATACTTAATTTATCCTCCACTTGTTTTGTTTAATTAATTTTCAAGCGCCAAAAAATTGCATCCTTTACGGTTATATCCTCCACTTTCCCTCCTCTACTCTCACCCTCTCCTTTCCTTTATTCCTCTTAATTAATCGGTCACTTACTTCACGGAGATCTATCAAGATTCAAAACTCGGACTCTTCTTTCAAACACAACCATGACAACACTTTTTTGTCGGCCGTGCACAATTGCTTTTTGCAATAATTAATCTTTGGGCGCGTTTCCACGATAGCATAATCATAGACTTCCACTTATTCATGATAGCCTTTCACGGAATGCCACCTTTCCACGATAACCTACCACGGATTTCCAAGGTTTCCATGACAGGCTCGGTCAGCATGGTCAGGTACAACATTTTTCCCCAACATGCCCAATGCAATGGCAATACGCATGAATGATGTCGACTAATAATATAATGTTCGTCCATGTAAACCCATCCTATCCGATCAGAAGAGGCTGTACTCGATTTAAGATTCTTTCGTTCATAATCGAGTTTTTACTAAGGGCCTACTACCTGTGTTTATTCCTCCATGCTACGACATAGTTACCTTTCAAAGCGATGATCACCGCGCTGACGCAATGGCCAAATATACTATACTGTGTTTACAAAAAACTCTTGAATGCCGGTAGACTCTTGGGGGCGCTCTTTCCGCGCGAGGCGCCCCAAGTTAATTAAGTTTTCAAAGGCGCTTTTGACAGGACCAGCGGGCCGCGGTTCGTTTTGTTGTGTGTATCCACTTTTACAAAACATTACAATGTGGACCATTTCCATCTTTGTGCGTGTGGAATGTACAAATATCCAATTCATGTCAATTTGCAATGGCCATATGATTATGTTATGCCAATTGCAAGGAATGGTGGTGCAGCCCCGCTGAAGCGACGGTCGGCTCACGTTTACATCTTTTCCAGAAGCACGTGGCAGGCGCTCTCAAATTTCTTACCCGCCGCTTCGGTGTAAATACAACACCTTTGGCTGTATCCGCGTCGAAAGGAAATCATGAAGATGTCAGAAATGTTGAGAGACAAGATGGAGACGCAGGCTTCCGATCTTCAGTTTCCTCAAGCTTCACTTCACAACTCCAAAATTTCCAAAATCATGGTCTTCATGCAGTTGGGTAAATATCAACATTTTTTTATGTCAATGTTCTCTGACGACCAGGAAAAAAGTACTAGCACTAAGCCTATAGTTGCAACAACCGTCACTGCGCGCCCTTTCCTATGGGCTCTAGTGGGGCAGACTCATATGCAATTTTGGGTACACTCTCTCCCAACACATATAGCCTAGGCCTACTTCAACAAGTTCAAAACCATTTAATGCCATTTTGTCTGACCCTTTTAGGGGCGGGTCATGACGTTAAAAAGTTGGGGGCTGCGCCGGCAAAAGAACGATTCCGATGATTTCACCTTTTCCTTTCTTTTCTGCATTTGGCCAGCTCACCCATGGAGCTGCTTACCCAAGTGAAAATAAAATAATTCAAGAATTTTGCCATTGCTGGGAGTTGGCCATATTTTTAAACAGTATAGGGGTAAATGGCGTGAACTGAAACAAAAAATCGGCTGCAACAGGCAATAGTTTTTTCTCTCAATCCAATAGGCCTATAGTTGGGCAATTTCCAAAGGTTGGCATTATATACCTCAGTCATTGTTCTGCATCCCACTTTACGGAGATTGTACATTATGAGCCCGTTGAAAGAAACAGCGTTGATGCGAAATCAATCCCATTTGCTATCAGGCCTTGAATTACAACATTCAAAGCATTTTGCGCCATTGGGGGATTTCAAATTCCTGCTCTTAATAGTGGCCGTTTCTGCGTTATCCTCTTGGTCGGAAATCCTCTCAAATATTTCCTTGTTCGTATTTTACCCATATAATCCGAGAGCCCATTGAAGTCTCTCACAAAAGGTTTAATGGTGGCAGCGAGTAGGTGGGGTGTCCAACCTTCAAAACCGTAAGTGTCATACCCCCGTGCGTCTGGGAGGGGACACCGCCTAAATTTATTTTTCATGTCTTTCATTAGAACGATCATTCGAACACCAGTCATGAATGAGTCAGCTTTTGCAGAATTTCAACTTACGAATAAAAAAATCCCGTGCAAAATTCACTTAAGAACGGCAAGTTAATTGCCGATTTCTGCACGGCTTAAAAAGTAAAAACATACTGTATAGCGAAATATGCACACATGCTGATAGTAAACAACCACGCGAAAGCATCGCTACACACGTACTGCATTGCAAAATACTGCGATGTAACATAGTGCAATATGCGATATTATGCATTAACATTATGCCGGCCCAAATATTCGAGATAGTCATGATTTTGCGAATTACTCAATAATGCAACCTATCACGTTATTAAGAAATAAATGTCCGCGTTATGGCCCAGTCAATTCTTATGGTATTTAGATTTTTTGACGATGTATCAAAGCCTACCTGATACATGAATGGACTGTAAAGCAGAATCACTCATGACGGAGCCTGAATTATTAAAGAGAGATAAATTACGATGAAGGCCTGAAAGCAAGCAAAATATTTAGGATGTATGATATGGCGAAAAAGTATGCCGGGGACCCTAAGGGCCATTTGGATTTCTCCCCAGTTTGATGCGAGTCCTTTTCGGCATAAAACAAGGATGATACAAAATGGCCGGGATCGATGATTTTCCCTTTTAAAGACTGCTATTGAATTGGACACACACCAAAGAAGCGCTGTTCTAAACGGGCATGTTTTTCCACTCATCCGGAAAACATATATCCCAGCATACGCATATGTTTAATTAAAGTAACACATTTTACAGCTGTCCATGGAGTGTTAAACTTTTCCAACCAAAGGCGCACAGTTTCTTAAAAAAGAAAGTAAAAACGAAAAACCCGCAATATTTCATATAATCAGATCAATACATTCATGAGTATAATGGTTCATATAGGGTCTACACTGTTAAAAATGTCCGTAAATTTACGGACTCCGTAAAGTGAAATATTCCGTATTTTTTGCCGTGATTTTACGGACTTTCCGTAAATGCAAACATTAATTATGCTAATTAGCGTGATTACAATCAACCACATCGGCCCAAACACCAACACATAATAAAGTACATCGAAGCATAATGTTATTTCACCCACAACCATGTACACATGTCCAAACTCATGTTAAGGGTCTGTTTATTTTACGGAATGAAACAACTTTTCCGGAAATTTTGCTGCCAGCAAAAAAAATAGCGTCCCGTTCCGTATTCCTGCAGCAAAATTTCCGGAAAAGTTTTTTCATTCCGTAAAATAAACAGACCCTTAACATGAGTTTGGACATGTGTACACGGTTATGGGTGAGATTACAATATGTACTTAGATGTACTTTATTATGTGTAGGTCAAATGTGGTTGATTGTTATCACGCTAATTAGCATAATTAATATTTGCATTTACGGAAAGTCCGTAAAATTGCGGCAAAAATACGGAATATTTCACTTTACGGAGTCCGTAAATTTACGGACATTTTTAACAGTGTATAGAGTGATTCTTGATTCAAGACATTCTTTGATTTTGATCGAAATAGACCATTGGACTGTAATGAATGTGTACTTTTAAGTTGAGGTAGGGGGAAACCTATATGTATTTGTTTATGAATTAAATGATTGATGCAAAAAAGTACTAATGAGGCCTATACGTATGCATAAATCGGAACCTCTACAATACCGTGAGATCAGGAAGTGGGAGTGTTTCTGGGGGTTTAGAAGTTTTTGAAAAAGAATGAATAATTCACAAATAATGCGTTGTTATTCCAAAACTGTGTAACACTCTGTTATTTTACAGTACATGTGTACGGTACGTGTTTATTTTTAAAATTACTGTCACGGTATTTTGCGATTCTTGGGGGCTGTTTTGCAAACTGATACGTATGTCTCAATGCTATTACGTCATTTCACACAAAAAGAGTTACTGTTTTGCGTTATTTCGCGGTAAATAAAGCCGTTCGCAGATTTTGCACGAGTTGTTTATTCTTAACTTGACATTCTGCAAACGCTGACTCGTACACTACCGTTTGGTGTTGGAATGATCGTTGTGCTCAATGTTTAAACACATAAAACAAAAAGCTCCTTAGAAGGCGGCTAATTATTGAACTTTAACTCGTTCTTAAGCACAAAATGCACGGGAAAAGCTATTCTTAAGTTGTGGATCTTGCATTATAGTCACAAGCAGCTTATAGTGAAGGTTTCGCTCTTGTGCTCAAAAATTTAATTAACGGTAAATAATTAGTGCTAATTAGGCCATTCTTAAACATGGACATGGATGCACGCGGGATTTCTCATCCTTAAGTTACTGGTCATTGATAAATTATTCGAAAACTATCTTTTCGCATTGGAACCGTGCTTGTGCGCGATATTCTAATTAAAAGTCAATTTTCGGGGATCTTTAGGTGGTGCCCCCTCCGAAAAGCACGGGGTGTGTCACTTAAGAGTGACGGTTTTGAAAGTTGGACACCCCCTACTCGCTGCCACCATCAAACCTTTTGTGCCCGATATTCTAATTAAACCTCAATGGACTCTCGGACTTCTGCCACATCAGGAGTTCCGCAAGGAGCTGTGCTCGGACCACTACTGCTGACTTTACCTGCCGAGCAATATGCAAGTTGACTTCACAAATGAGACTATTCGCTGACGATTGCCTAGATTACCAACAAATATCACCTAACAAGGACACCTCAACTCTACAAAACAATTTCAAGTTGCTCGAATCATGGCTGAATAAATGGCTCATGAACTTTAATCCATCGAAGTGCTGTACTATCACATTTGCTTACTGAGTGTAATATACCGTAACACTGGACAGAGTCCAAAATATGCAACAAGATTCTGCACAAAAACAATTACAGTATAGGAAGAGGGAACAGTCACTGGAATCCTGGAGCACATCAAGTGGGGAGACATGGAAGAGCAAAGGAAGATACAAAGGCTATCAGTGCTCTACAAAATCAATCATGGGCTGGTATACATCTCACGAGCAGATCACCTCAACTGAAACACAAGAAATACCAGGGGGCACCAACAAAAATTCTACAAACGACATGCAACCAAGGAAGCCTACTGGAACTCTTTCTTCCCGAGAACAATTACAGGATGGAAGAAGTTGCCAGCAAACGTCGTCAACTCTAGGACACTACTTGCATTCAAGGATAGGGCATCCAAGCACTACATGGACAATTACATGTAAGGCTATTTACTAAGGTCATCTACACATAAGGTCAGAAGTTAGTGTGATATTCCTGAGTGAATTTTACTGACTGAACCAGAACCAGAAACATGCTCATTTCGTGGTTTTCAGGACGCAGTGCCCCTTTAATTTCGCCTTAGGAACTATTGTATCAACTTCCAAAACTTGTTGGAGCTAATATCGACTGTCCATCCTCAAATTAAACATGTTAATTGTTATATTTGTATACCGGCGTCTTTCGACTTTCCGATGTTTTTTTAGACATGATAATGCTCACTTTCTTCCTTGTAAACAACATGCTAATTGTAAAAAGAAATGGCCTCAAGGTGTTAACCTTCTG